AGGAAAATTGGAAGTTTATTTAGGAACGGAGGTAGTATCTGTGAATGCATCAGGCAACTGATTTGCAACATTTTGTAAATGGATTATCTTTTGCACCTCTTGCTCACATATATTTGATCTTGAATCAAGAAGTGATAATCCTGTTGCATTCCATGTAATTTCTTTCGTACTTGAGTCTAATTTATTATTTTCTCCCCTAAGGTTGGGAATACTGTCTCATTGAAATGACAGTATGCAAACCGTGCGGTAAATAAATCACAGGTCATAGGTTCGAGATATTTTATTATTGAGGGGGATTCAAATCCAACATAAATTCACAACCTTCATTGAGGACCCATTTTTGTACGATGAGATGGAGCAATAGGAACATAAACATCACAACCAAATATTTTTAGGTGTGCTAAGTTTGGCTCTTATCCAGTAACTAATTGCATTAGGGAATATTCATGATATGCAGTTGGTCTAAGCCGTACTAAATTTGTTGCATGTAAAATAGTATGTTCCCAAGCAGATGAAGGTAAATTACACTTCATTAATAATGGTCTAGCGATTAATTGTAATCGTTTAATCAAAGATTCAGCAAGACCATTTTGTGTATGGACATGAGCAATAGGGTGCTCCACATCAATCCCAATTGACATACAATAGTTGTTAAATGACTGAGATGTAAATTCTCCTGCATTATCAAGTCAAATTCTCTTTATAGAATGATCCGGAAAATGAGCTCTTAATCGTATGATTTGAGCAAGGAGTTTAGCAAATGCTAAATTTCTAGTCGATAAAGGACTAACATGTGATCAACGTGTGGAAGCATCAATCAACACCATAAAATATCGAAATGGTCCACATGGTGGGGCTATCGGCCCACAAATATCTCCTTGAATTCTTTCTAAAAATGCAGGTGATTCAGTTGCAATTTTGTTCATAGAAGGCGTGATGATCATTTTTCCAAGAGAAGAGGCCTTAAATTACAAGGAAAATCACTTGATCTGATAATGGAACTCTGATATTCTTTAATGGATGTCCAAGTGAAGTCTTAATGATTTTACGCATCCATCATTACCTGACCTGGGTGACCTAAACTGTCATGCCACAACATGAATGTTTTCTTATCATCTAACTTTGTGTTATAAACCAAATTTATTTCGAATGGACTAATATATGTGAAATATAGTCATGAGAAATATGCTGGCATTTTTTCACAAATATATTTAGTGCCAAATTTAGTTGTCGTGAGACAAATATATTCCTTTTGATTTTCATTCATGGTTTCTATGTGATAACATTTTGATGCATGTCTTTAAAACTTATTAAATTCCTTCGTGATTTGCTGGAGTATAAAGCGTCATTTATAATTATCTTTGTCCCGTTAGAAAGCATCACATATGCTTTCCCAGAACCTTCAATGAGCTTCACAACACCTGATATAGTATTGACTTTAGCTTCAACTAAAGTCATTTGAGAAAAATATACTCCCTCCGTCCCAAAATGAACTTCACAGTCACTATTCACATGATCAACTTAAATTACTCTTAATCTTATGTTTTGTATATCAATTTTTTATCAAATTTATATTTTTTATCAGCCTTTGTAGCGGTTTTAATGTAGTTTCTCAATATGTAAATGTTATTTACTAAAAGTAATTTGAGTATGAACAGGGATCGAGTTGCTTTATCATCGGTTAAGCATCGTAATCCGAAATAGGAAGTTCATTTTGGGACGAAGGTAGTATTTTATTTCTCAAAATGGTGTGTGTTGTGGCGCTGTCTATTAGACATAGCTCTTTATCACTTGAGTGATCCATATCTTCAATATATATATATCTACTATAAATATAAAGCCGCTAAGACAATTAGCATGGCCTTTTTTCGTGTGAAGAGCCCCGACTGTTACTCATTTTGGCGCAAACCACACTAACAGCTCCCTCCGTTTGCTTCCCTCTGGCGCGGTTCAAATGGATTCAGGCCACCCATGCGCAATTGGAGTGTTCTGAGGCCAAGATTATCCGCTCCACTGTATATGATTTAGTGTCGTCACTTAAGTGTGTCTGCTATGTCGACGTTAGAAATGATGATTTGGCTAAACTTATTATTGACGTGGTTGAAAAAAGTCCAGCTCATATGTTCTGTTTCCTTAAGGCAAATTCCAATCAATAGCAAATGAAATTGGTCAAAATAGAGGAAGAAAGAACGGGATTGTACTCATAGTTTTCTCTTCTTATGGCCATAAGGCCATTTATGTTTTATCTCTTCTTGCCATTAGGACTCTTTCTCTTCCATTAGTCGTCGTACTTAGGAAACCCACAAACAAACCTCCCCATAGTGGACAATGGTTATACTCGTCACAACGCCTCCAAACACAGGTGCACTTGTCGGAGACCCTTCTTGTTCAGAAGTTCGGGAAAGCTCTTCGCCAACCTGGTGCCCCATCAAATCAAGCCTCGAGTTTACGCAAATATCAATTTTACTTGACCTAAAGAGTATTAAGGTTATAAGTCATTGACAATTCAATGAGGGGAGCAAGACAATTACCGGGTAGTGATGAGGAAAGTTGGAAGGGAAAGTACAACAAGGTTCTTGAATAAGTTCACTCTACAAATAATGAAAAATGTATAAGAAGAGGATATACTACGTACAAGTATATCATTAGTTATATATCACGTGAATCACCTATATACATTACAAAGTACAATTAAATCTAGACTATAAAATAGCAGGGCCGGCCCAGACATATAGAAGGCCCTGTGCAAAATTGAAAATGAGGCCCTAAGTTTTTTTTATCATTATATAATCATTATTATATTATTACTTTCACCGTTTTTAAATAATAGTGTCCTTAGGTTTTTTGTGGGTTTTAAGATGAAAATAGTAGGCCCTAAAGGTAAATGAAAAGTAGAAAAGAGAATAAATTAAGAAAAGTAAAGTAATGACAAAGTATGAAAAAGAAAGTAGTTACAAGCTCGTTCCAAACTGTACAAGGATTTTGTGCTAATTAATGTAATTAGGCCTTGTGAAATAAAGAAATCACACAATTGTAATTAACAAATATACTTTAATTACATAAAAATATTACTATTTAATGTTTGTATTTAAAAAAAATAATAAGATAGGAATTTTTAATCAAATAAATAAAGATTTATTATATTATATAGACTATATTTAAATTTTTGGGCCTTCTGAAATTGAGAGGCCTTGTGCGGTTGCACTTCTTGCACGCCCTCATCGGCCCTGTAAAATAGATTATCAGGTGATTTCTCTAGAAACTATTACGGAGTATAAGACAATTAAATTGCATGCTGAGTAACTATAAAACAAATTTGCAAGCTCCAATATATTGCTAGGACACAAGGCCAATTGTTTAAAACAGAACAAACACACCATGTGATATACTCCGTAAAATAAAGGACACATGGCAAACTTCACAAAAACGCAAATGTATCTATTCAACCTAGATGAACTAAACGTACATAGAATACTTCAAAAGCCCCTAAGTGTGTTGGCAAAATCATTCTGCATCTCTCCATGTTAGTATTACACGTTGCGATAAGCATAAAAAATGAACAAAACAATAAATACGTACATAAATAAGTATATATAAAACGGTAAATGTAATAGATTATAAAAAACGTCCGAGGAGGATTAAATAGGAAGTTGATAGCAAGGAAGTACACTGGTCTAATAAATGAAAACATATACGAAGTACATAGAATTAACGCTATTGATTCAGAATTATGTGAGTATAATAAATATAATGAACAAAGTTACCATTAAGTTAAAGAAAATATCAAATTATAATTACGCAACTTTAATGAAAGCATTCTGATACACACACATTAATTAATGTATATAAGGAAATGAAAAGGATGAGAAACTGCCTTTGAAGATAGAAACTGAAACCCCTTCTAAGTTCAAGGAGTTTTGTAGCAAAAGAAGAGGAATAAGAAGAAAATAAAATGAAGAAGAAAGAAAGGAAAAAAGAAGAGCAACACGGAAGAAGAGAAAGACAAAAGAAAAAAAAAAGAGAAAATGTAGTAATGTCCTAAAAAGTAATTAGGTTTAATAGAAGTGAATATTTGGTGACTGAGATATTAAAAATATAAGATAAACGGTTAATCCCTTCCATCTCAACTTCTTTTAATGGTAGAGTTAAAGTTGTACTCAATGAACACCAAAAAATCAAATTTAGATACTTTATTGTATTGGTTGCAAGATGATGTAATTTAATTAAGTTTGTAAACGAATCGAATCGAACCGAATACTTGATAATATTATTCGTATTCGTATAATTATCGAATATTCGTATTCGTATTCGTTTAAAATTCGAATCTTATTTTGTATTCGTATTCGATTCGTTTGATATATTCGAATCTTTTTCGAATCGAATTCGAATATTTGAATTCAAAAAACATTAAAGTTAATTTGTAAAAATAATTAAAATTATGATGTTAGTTTACCCCTTTTAACTAATTTTCATATTACATATTTTATAGGAAACAAAATTCATTTACAGAAGTCACTTCAAATTTAATATCAATATAGATAAATTAATGGAGAATTGTAATTATAAATTAAGCTATTTTGACATGGTAAAGTGAGAATTTTTAAATTAAAATATGCAAAATATTTTTACATGAATATTTTGTTATTAATATTTTTACATTGAACTATATGTATTCATAAGAAGTAGTATATATTGTATGAATATATAAATATATAAATATATATATATAATTCGAATATATTCGAATATTATTTGAATCGAATATCATAGTATTTGTATTCGTATTCGTAAAGTATTCGAATCAAAAAATAGATTTGTATTCGTATTCGTATTCTACTCACTCAAATTCGAATCGGCATTTTCGAATTCGAATCACTTGAGGTACTAATTTGACATTTTCGTCAATTAATAAATCAACAAACATATGCAATCAATCAAATAGAACTAGATTTAACAAAATCATTTTTACTTTGGGAATTTAAACATGAAATCGAATGGAATCAAATCACTCGGAAACCTAACTGAATCTACCAAACCGAAATACAAATCGAACAAGCCCATATGCAAAATATTAACGGGCGTCCCGCGTACACCGCCGATCATTTTTCTCTGCTAAGCGCCAACTATGGTGCTCGGAGAAGGTAGAAACAATAACACGATCGCAAGTCGACGGTAGGAAATAAAACAGCTCAATAGCAAACTGTGCACCCCCCTTTCCCTCAACTTCCGTACTTGAAGCTGTTCCTTGGCTTCCCTGCGTCCTCCCCGTCCTCAGGCCGTTTCCGGCCCGCCAATCGGCGATTGAATTCCGTACACTTTTTTCCTAGATTGTAACTTCATCCCTCGAATTTTGAATCTAGGTTGAGCTTCATCTACGTTTTTTGGTTTAATGTAGAAGCTTTATCAGTTTTTATATAATATTAATTCAAAAAATGAGGTTTTAGTGAATGTTGGTCTCAAATGTTCCTGTCATGATGAGACTTTATAAGCAAAAGCCACATTTCACTATGTAAACAACCATTAACAACGCATGGTTGATCGGAGTTGTACTCACAAAGTCATAAAACTGCCGTAAGAATGATATTACACTGGAGATGATATGCCATTAGAGCTGAATAGCTACAGTTCATTAATATTTCAAATTTAATGCTTGATTCCTGTTTTGGCATTTGCCTTTATTTATTTATTTATACTGTACTACATATGCTGATTTGCATTTATCACCACTTTTTACTTGGTGTAGATAAGGTTCAGCGGAAGATTATCATTTTTTTGCAATGCTACAGTGGATGGGTGGATCAAGACGGAAAGTTGTCACTGTAAGTTGTGGCTGAAACTGCATTGTACTCCATCCTCTTCTTGTTCCAGCTTATATGCTGGAAGCCATGCACTTCCATTACATAAATACTCAATAATTCGTCATATTTCTTCTGAAGTAGTACGTTAAGCAATCACTAGGGGTATGCATTCATTTGTGTAAAATAGGGGTGTTTATCTGAATCCTCAACTATCTCAGGCTTGTCAGGTGTTACTAGTGTAACAGTGTCGCTCTAACACTACCCTCTTGTTTTATCTGTTTTACATCAACCTTACCCTCCTCCTTCCATGCCATTTTCATGATTCTGGGTGGAGATTAGTCAAGGAATTCAACACTGAAAAGGTACAATAACAACTTCATGCCCCCTATATTATTTAAGTGCCTATAAACTTTGAATAGTTTTATTAGGCTCTGTATTAAATGAATTTACATACCATCTTATATTGACATGACTCCAAGTTCTTGAAATGACAGGCAAAAGCAATACTTTGAGCAAAGAAAACTAAAACACCGGCATAGTCAGGCAGATCTGGGGAAGTACTATGGAAGTAGCCCATATAATCAGCAACATGAAAATAGTACATCACTGGATGTTCTTAGTCTTCTGAACCTTTCAGCTGTTTCTGGAGAACCTATCTCAGGTTTCCTTTTCCCTAGAGGTTGCGCTATCTCAAATTTGAAAATATACAGCTCTGGAAAGTTTTACACTTCAGTTACTTTGATTATGGTCCTTACCACTTTTTTTATAGTTAGTTTGAGAATATTGATTGAACACGCAACTAGTTTCACTATAATTAGTTGTCTCTTTAATGATTGTTTATGTATATAATGTATATTGCATATGAATTTTGCATTTGATAGTAATTTCTTGATAAATGTCTATTTAATCAGGAAATATTGAAGGTGTTACTCCCTCTCCAAACTATCAGACCAGGTTGTGTCCTCAAACTGCTCAGGCCAATGAAGTTACTCAAATTAGTCCCCTTAGGATCAAGCCGGAAGGTGTTGCTTCCACAATCGGTATGAAGTAGTGTTATCAGCATGTTCCATGTAATTGTTTGTAATTTGAATCCAATTGAATTATGATTCTACGTGCTTGCAGAAAGTCCAGCATGTGATCTTGCTGATACTGTATGTCCAAGAAAGTAAGCATAATGAGCTTCAAATTTTGAAGTATTGAATTATCTAATTCATTGTTTTCATTTGTATACATAGATAGCATTAGTGGAATACTTATTGGCAGCACATCTGAGTGATTGTATCTACCACCTTGAGGTTATCTAACTTGTGAGGGATATTGTTTGATATATCTGCTTCTTCACACACTTGCATTTGGTTGCTGTTTTCACGGAGATGCATCATTCCTTTCCTTCACATTAACGGCACTTCTACAAACTACTCCTTTTATTTCTATTTTTCCATTATTTTTTCCCCTTACATAAACTAATTGTTTAGTACCTGCCAGTTTTCCAGTTGGTGCACCTGAATCCCAGGGGAAAAAGCTGAAGGGTGATTGGAACACCTTAAATCAATCGATGATGTCAACAGAGAACCGTGAGTAATTCCTTTAGTCATTTGGGACATTACATTGTTTCATGTTTCTAAGGAGGTGGTGGGAGTACAATAAGAAATGGATAGTGGTTTTTATAATTATCATGTTTCCATTAGTTGAACTAGAATCAAATAGAATTTTTGTAATGGCAAAGCATTAATTATAATTATCTGTCTTTGCCTCTTTGGAACTTAAGGAATGATCACTGCTTCAATTTTCATATAACTTGATCATTACTAATCTATGCTATTTTCTATACAGAGGCTCAAAATTATTTTCTTATAGCTTCATTAAGAACGATTAATTTATTTCGGCTTTATTTCCATTGTCGGCAGCGCTATCTGTTATTGATATTCTAGGTGATGATTGTCCAAATAGGAACCTTGAAGAAAATGTAGGGCATGAAGCTCATGTTGCCTTTTCAATTCAAGGTACGATTTGATATCATTAACTTTCAAGTCAGTCTACAAATTAAAGCCATATACACCAACAACAGTTATTGGCTAACTCACTCATGACTCATCTAAATCAATTCCCTTAACTTGTTGAGTAGAAGGGTTTTCAACCCGGAACCCCACTCCCAACTTCTGACTCTTTGTTGTTATTTAATCATTATGAGGCATCTTTCTGGTAAAGCAAGGTTGATATTTTCTCTACATGATTAGTCTTTAGTGTTTTTACTGCAATTAAATATAAAAAAATTTAAAGAATCTTTTTGACGAACCATTAGTTGTTACCTAAAATTTAAACAAGTATAAGGATGTTTTTACTTGGACTGAAATTTTCCGGTCTGATCTGGTTTGGTCTGGTCTGATCTGATCAGAACTGGTCTGATCTGATCAGAACTGGTCTGGTCTGATAAATCTCTGGTCTTTGTGTATTTTATAACTATCCGAGTCTGGTCTGGTTTGATCTGGTCTGGGACTGAAAACGGTCCAAATAAAAACATCCTAAGTAGACATTTTGTACACTATTAGTGTACATTCCAATATAGCATGCATTTATTGGATATAATAAGTTGAGCAACTTTTGATTATCCAATAAATGCATGCCATGTTGGAATGTACACCAATAATTCATAGAAATGTCTCCCTAGACTCACTCAAATTTAAAAGTAGCCATGAAACAAAAAATGCTTTAAAAAACCTTCCAGCCACACCTTTGCATTGCCAGAACAAAATCCTTTGTTCGTATAATGTACTCGTGTAGTTGGTTATCATATGGAATGTCGTATAGTTTAACTCATAAATTGTTTTGGACACATTAGTAAGATATATTTCAGAATAACATATAACTTGATTTCGTTCTGTTGTACATGTGCTCATGGATTTCTCATTTCGTCATTATAAGAAATATATATGCTATTAGTCATTACTACTAGTCATTTGAAGATATTAGCAACATATATGTGATACTAGCGTATGGCTCGTAATACATAGTGCTTATTGAAGGCATGCCTTACTCATCAGGTTTAGGTAAAGTGGACACAGAAACACCTGTTCATTCACCAGAGAGGCCTGGAAGGTAATTGCAAGATGTATTGATAATTTGATATTTTCTGCTAACTTCTACTTCCTAAAATCCACATAATGTGTCTGGTGTACCGTGTACATATTGTTGATAATAATGATGGCTGTGCATGAGGAGATGCTCCAAGGGCCAGTGATCATTTTGCAGTGAATTTTCTATTAAATAGGCCATGGTTTGAGTAATGTAACGAGTATCATTGAGCATCAATATTTTATTGCTAAAAAGGTTCTCATTTCCATTATACATCAGCACTTAAGAGTTAAGAATACATTTGTTTGCCTGCTAGGTTGTTGTAGTTGGATTTGTTTGGCTACTGATGCCAGTTATGACTATCAATCGGCTGCAGGAATTTCTCTTATGGACAGTATTTGCCATTGAAAGAGAGGATGAAAACTCTCTCATCAGTCAAAACTACCAGCAGGCCTGACCTCAAGCATAAATTGGTAAGAGCAGCCACCAGCTCATTTGGTGATTGACTTAAATATGAAATTCATTGCTGCTTATTTAAATAACCAATTTATTCCTTGTCATTGACACTGTACACAACAATAAGCATGCCCCTTCTGAAGCACCCTTCTTTTTTATCAAATGAACTGGCATAATTGTGGGTGTCAATGTGTGGGTGATACTTATAATACTAGTTACTGTGATACACAAATTACAGGATGCTGTCATGAGGGATATCGGAACATCCATATACAGAAGTCCAGTAGAACCATCTGTTAGATCTATGGTCTCTGATGATTTATTTGGCAGCCCAAGGCAGGACTTGTTATCTAACAAAAAATCTTCTCCAGTCACTAATTATTATACTAGTTTTGAGGAAAATTTGGAAGCTGGGGAGCTCTTTGGCAAAGAGAGAAGAAAAAACATTCAAAATGGTAATATTCAATTTGTGCACACTTACTTTCCTGTCTATGATATGTATTCTGGACTATCATACACTCCATCCCAAAAAAAGTGTCATGCTTCAAAAGTTCTTTTTGTCCCCTTAGAAAGAGCCTTATTTAACCAAACATCTCTAGTTTTTCATAATTTTGAGGTTATTTTATTTGTCAAAAAATGTTTTACAGACAAGGCAATAAGATTAACTTATTTAACCTAACAAGTAAAGTTTAAATGTATAAGTAGAACTTTATGATTTTTTTGGGATGGAGGGAGTAGTGGTTTCATAGGCATGCAGTGTGTTATTACACTTGGCTCAATGATGGAGTAATATTAGTCTAATTACTTGATTTTCTAAATATGTTCAACACTTTTAAGGAAATACTTTCTCAAGCCTTTTGAGTAAAATCAGGAACCGAGATGAAAGATTGACCAAAGACTTTCATATGCATAATGAAATTCCAAAATCGGCTGTGTTGCGAGTGTCTTTACCTGAACACTCTAAATTATCTTTTATGATAAGGGGCATGTAGTAAAATATCTATGTTTGAATCTCAGCAACTTCCTCGGGTCTACCTTATGGAATTAGTGACCAAGAAGACTATGGTTTACCTTGTAAGAACGAGTTAGATCAAATGGAGTTTTGTTCAAGTAGTCAAAATGAGGGTAGAAGTTATGATCACCAAGATTTCACCTTTGATGAGACCCGCCAGTGGAAGAAAAGGTAGTATTTTTTAATGACGCTTCTAGAACCATGTGACTCATTATTCAAAACGGATTTAATTATGTGTGTGCAGCACCAACACGCAATCACCATTTGAGATCAATTACCAAGGTGCTTTGGGTTTTATTAATGTTGAATGCTCTTTGATTTTAATCTGTGTTTCTTGTGTTGATACATCAGGAAATGCTCATATGTCGATTCATGTTAGTCGACCCTAAACTCTTTCGAGATTAGGTTTGGATGTTTTTGTTGTTCTACTCTCTTGTTGTTCACTGATGGAAGTGTTCTCTTTACCTAGGCTGCCCTTCTTCATATTCCAAGTGGCAGATGCAACAGTACTTTGAAGATTCAGACCCGAATATGAAATGGTATGATTTTTTATTTACATTTTTGCATACACTACTACTTCTGTCCTGAAAGAGTGTCTTGTTTGACCTGTGTACAAACTGCTGTACACTGGTGAAGTACAACTGTTGTAAATCATGAGCCATACTTATATCTTCAAATTTATTTGTTGGTTTTACTGAATTTATCATATGCAACTCGTATCATCTTTTTTCCTCATCTTTTTTCCTTGTTTTTTATCCTTATATATATAAGCATTATTTGTATCCTTTTATTTTATCATTTTTATGTATATTCATCTCTTTTTATATTATCTTTTTATAATAGCTTATCTTTTTTATCTTTATTTCCTTTCTTTTCCTTTTGGTGGTGATATCATGTATAGATTCATGTTAGTCGACCCCAATATCTTTTGGGACTAAGGCTTGATGTTGTTGTTGTATGGGAAAATTACATGAAAAATTAGCTCTATTTGATGAAAGTGGACTTTTATTCGAGACACCAGGACTATAATTTGCTGTGAAGATTTCATTGCATATAATCCTCTGTAATTTGGACAGCAACTACTCTACGGGAACTAGTGAATATCGTTGTGTGGACAACAAAAAGCGGACAGCTTCCTCATTCTCTACAATTGATGACACCATGGGTTGTTTCAGTTTTCGGAGGTTAGCAATATTTGACATTCTTTTTTATTAGTTATTGCTTTACTTGGTTTTATCCTGATGAAACTTTTTTTCCAACTCAATGCCAGTGAAGAAGCATGCTTCTTTTCAACTGCAGGTTTTTAAACTCATCCTATTGCTAAATTGCTACAGTACTTGTAGAGTGGTAGTATGATTTAATTGATTTGGCTCAACTTCTTAAAAGTTAAGGGTCTGTTTAGGACACGAAATATGCATTACGTAAAGAAACTAAGAACGAAAGTATATGCGTGAAATTTTGGAAAGAGAATTTGGAGAAAAATAAATAATCGGCTCAAACTTCAAAACAAACAATCAACGTTTGATATTAGTCTTTATATCATATATATAATAAAGATTAATAAATAAGCTCTTTTACAGGAGGTTTGTCCGGCTATCACCGTTTGGGGCAGTTTTCGGTGAAATTTTTTTATGCAATTTTTTGAGCATCTTCTTTTAAGTCTAGTTTAACCATACCAAATTTCAGCTAAAAATTCAATCGAGAAGTTAGTCAAATGATTTTCTGAAATATATTGTGTTGTCTAACTGCGCAGTTATCTTAAAAAATTCATTTGACTGCCTTTCCGATTGAATTTTTAGCTGAAATTTGTTATGAATAAACTAGACTTAATGAAGAAGATACTCAAAAAATTTCATCAAAAAATTCCATCGGAAACCGCCCCAAATGGCAACGGCCGGACAGATCCTCTTCTAAAAGAGCTTATTTGCACTTTTTATGAAAGTTCCAGAGCTTATTTGATAGTTCTCCCTGTATAAAAAATATATGTAAAAATGTTAGAAAATTCTACTCACTCCACATTTCCCAAATAAAGTCTTTATATCCTTGTTTTTTTTTCTCTTTTTCATACCATCCTCACCTGAGTCTCAAACAGACCCTAAAGCACCTTCTTGCACTAACATTCTCTCCTTCTCACTCTGCTTTCCAGTGAAAGGTGATTTGTTCGAATGCACCAGAAACCGCCATGACATGCATCTTCATAAAAAGACGATGGAGACCAAAACTAGATTCTGCAATGATAGCTGGCCAGGAAGCTTCTCAGATTACCCAACTACTGCTAAAAAGAGATGGTTTGATCCGAATCCCCATCGGTTCTCAGATGACATATTCATTGCAAATGAAGAAGAAGACATTATGGGTGGACAAGATCCCTATAACGAACATCCATTTTCTTCTGCTCAACCTCCGTTACTTTTCAAGAAACACAGAGGTTTTCCTGGTGAACACTCACATTGCTACAAAAGAATGTCGGAAGAACCTAGTATCATCCCAAAACCAGCCATAATCATAATCTCGAATGGTATATCTGGTGGATCAAGTGTGCCAGGCCGATTTCAGACTTCCCAGGCTAGCATTGTTTCTTCATCATCCGACCTGGAAGACAAGTGTGGTGACACTAGAAATGAACCAAGATGCATTACTCCTAAAGCATCTGTGAATACAAATGCATCTAAACCTATTGAATATGGTGACGAGGCTTCTTCTTGTGCAGAGTTTCCGGCAGCAACTAAGGAAGTTCATGGGTCTGGAGATCCTACTAACGATATATCTTAATAACGTGATTTGTTACTGGGTTGGCTTTAATAAACCAAAAAAATATTTTAATGTTACTGTTATTGAATTGGGTTATCTTCTACGCACAAGGCTTAACTTCATACACTTGTACCAAAATACTTACACACTGGGGGCTTAACTTGATACATTTGTACCAAAATACTTAACACACTGGCTCCATTGATCACTTGATTACTCTCCATCTTAAAAGATTCGTAATCTCCTATGATGATAATCATGATACAGTATCTCTCAGAAGGGTAAGGCCCAGATTCTCTTCGAAGTCTCTGAAAGACTTGTCTGGAAAAGGGATTTGGGGGGGGGGGGGGGGGGGGGGGGGGTGGGGAGATTAATTTTTGTTTTATCAGTTTATCTTTATATGTTAGTGACGCTAGAAATAATTATATGGTTGATTAAATTACGCATTTCTTTATAATCTTTTATCTTCGGTATCTTTAAATAAATGAATACAACAACAACAACCTTTGTCCCAAAGGTAGGTAATACAACATAACAACTATTTTAAGTGAATCAGTTTAAAAATAAGTACCACACCCTTTCCTTCCTCTCCTCTAAAAGGTAGGTACTCAATTACACCATATCCCTTTGTTCTTTTATTATTTTGTCAAGTTTTACCGACACGAGGAGTGCTAATGTAACAATTGCGTAATTAATGTTTATTCACAGGGAATGAAATAATAATAATAATAACAAAAACAAATTAATTAATTAAAAGAGAAAACCGTACAGATTTTTAAACAAATAAAAGGGGGAAAACGATAAAGTTATAAGAGATGAAGTATGTTTTTTCGAAAAAGGTTGATTTCAGATCGGATGTTATTGTGTTAAGATTTCCCCCTCAATGTTGACACCATACCCAATCTTACATTTTTGTGAGCTCTACATTTTGACCCCACAATTAATTGAGAGTCATCAAATCTCGGACGAAATTGATGTGTGAGGGCCTTAAAAACTTGAAAAATGCTATTTGTACACTTTTGTTGTACACACTATAAATACTTTACATTTTTACCAATCTAATTTTACATTCTACCTCATTCCTCTCCACTATTTCCTTCTCTTCTCTCTCTTTCCATCCATACGAGTCCTCTCTCCCCCAATACCTCTTCTTCTTTTCTGCTTCCATTTTCATCACCTTCACATCCACTTCATCATCTTTCATCTTCACCATATTTATAAACGTTCATCTTCCTTGCTCTATCTCAATGTTCCCCATTCCATCTTCATCTTCACCATCTCCATCTTCCTCACTCAAATATTCAATTGTCTGTACACAGATAATTTGGACATTTTCAGATTGTGATTAACTATTTTGTATGGGTACATAGTCATTGAAAAGAACCAATATTTGTGCACTCAGAATTTTTTTTGATGAATTTCTATCTATAATTTTTCGACGACTTTCCGGTTAATCTCAAACTACCCCCAATCAATCCTAAATGATGATAATGATGAAATGATGAGTCGATGAATATGGAAGATGATGAAGATGGAACTTGGGAGGTGATTACTATGGTGAGCTAGATGGAAATGGAAGGTGACGGAGATGGATGTAGTGATGATGGATGTGAAGGTGATGAAAATGGGAGAAAAAAGAAAGAAGAAGAGAGAGTGAGGGGATTTTAGTATGGATGTGTAAAAAGGGGGGGGGGGGGGGTTATATAATGTGTGTCGTATGCATTTTGTGTACACCAAGCATGATTGTAGAAACTTTAATTGCATTGGAAAAGAGCAAAGAAGGGTCAAGATTTCTTTTTTCTTTTTTAATTTCACGAACAAAAAAAATTAAATGTGGCATTTGTAAAAGTAAATTAACATTGAAATGTACTACATATTTATAAAATGATGCTTAATGGTAGTGATGGAGTATATGACCCAAGGAACCCTCGGCCCACATACTCTCACTACTACGAACAGGCCCAACAGGCCCAAGTGACCCAAACACATGCAAGACCTTGTGGACGTATGACCTTTGCCACATGGAGGATCCCAGGGTACGTACGGTCTCTGGCACATGAAGCCCAAGGGACGTATGTCTCTGGCACATGAAGCCCTCCAGGGGACGTACATCTCTGGCACATGAAGCCCCAGGGGATGTTCGTCTCTGGCACATGAAGCCCCAGGGGACGCACGTCCTCCAACACATGAAGCCCCTAGGGGACGTTCGTCCTCCAGCACATGGAAGCCCCCAGGGAACGTACGTCCTCCAGCACATGAAGCCTCAAGGGACATTCGTCCTCCAGCATATGGAAGCCCCCAGGGGACGTACGTCCTCCAACACATGAAGCCCCAGGGGACGTACGTCCTCCAGCACATGGAAGGCCCTAGGGACGTACGTCCTCCATCACATGAAGGCTCCAGGGGACGTACATCCTCTAGCACATTAAAGTCCTCCGGGGTAAGTACGACCTCCAATACATGTCGGTATCCAGCTACGTACATCCACAACACGGCAGCAAGGCCCAAATGGCCCCTGGGTACGTACGGCCTTCAGGACTCTCCTCGACAGGATCTCCTCTCCACATGGTCTGAATCACCGCATTAAATGCAGTTTCACGCCCAACCACCGCATTAACTGCGACCACATGCTATCAACCACCGCATTAACTGTGACCACATGCTATGTCGGTGCCACCCCGGCTGAATCAACTCGCCATCGTTGGTTATTTGAAACATGTACCTGCAATAGTTACATCAATCATTTATGACTGCTATAAATAGCAGCCCAACTCTTCATTGTAAAGGATCAGACTCATAATTCATTAATAACACATATCACATCTCTCTCTAGCTCTCCCTTCTCTCTAGGAGTTTATGCTCCATCATTTGGTACTCTCATTGGGAGCTAGAACAAATCAAGTGAGATCCTCCTAACCCATAAGGTGTCACACGAACGAGTGACAAAATATCCCTTCGTCCAAGATCATGACAGTAAGCTGGTTCCCCTCCGGCACAAGATGGACGTCCGCTCAGGCTGAGCATGGAGAAAACAACTCCTTGTCTTCACTAGGCGGTCACCAACTTCCGGTCAAAAACACAATCCGTGCTTTCACCCTGCAGCAAGGGGAAGCCTTAGTGGATCCCTCGGCCAAGGACCAGAAACCATGACAACAACAGCAACCAAGGCGACGACAATAACACATCGTCCACTAAGTCATCGGCTCAGACAGAGGATGGTGATGCCCTCGGCCAATGAAAGATAGTGGGCACCCCTCGTCTACGATGGTTCCCTCTTCAGCCAAACATGACAGAAGGAGGACAAATCTCTCCCCCTTCATCCTGGGAACAAGAGTAGCTCCACCCTCGGCGAGAGGACCCTCGTCCTCGGCCGAGGCCGACGGAAAAACAAAAAAGGACCCTTCATCCAACTGGAAAGCCGGCGCCCCTCTGTAAAAAATGAACAGATGGTAGGTAAGATACTGCACCCTTCGTCCTGGGAGCACCACCGCCCGGCCGAGCAAGCCTTCATCTCAAGGTGGCACGGCCCCGGCCAAGACAGCCCACGAGGTCAGGAGAAATCGGCCCTCAGCAGAACAACCCCTCGCGCAAGAAAGGACCACCCTTGTCTCTGGACCTCCTCGGCAGAAGGCTAGCTCATGGGGACGAACGTCCCCACCCCCTGGGCCAGGCGCAACGCAGGAGGCGAGATCATGGGGATGAACGTCCCCACCCCCTAGGCCAGACGCAATGCAAGAGGCAAGCTCATGAGGAGGAACGTCCTCACCCCCTGGACCAGACGCAACACATAAGGCAAGCTTCGAAGGACGCTCGTCTCCACTCCTTGTGCCTCAAAACGGTAAACAATACACCTCAATCTCCGAGACGCTAATCGCGACGCTCAAAAGCCGTTGCCATGAACAACGCACTTATCGTGCTCCGCTTATTTTTTTGTAAATTTAAGTAAAGGATGCCACATAACACCCCACATCGTATCGGCCCCTTCGGGCGAAACACTCAGGTATGGCCGATGATGCCACACAATCCAAACATCGTATCAGCCCCTTCGAGGTGAAATGCCTAGGTATGGCCGATGATGTCTAAGACGAAGGGCTCGCAAAATGGCCCACGTCTGGAAACGAGAAGCTCACCGCGTCGTCCTCGCGCTAAATCGCAGGGCGTCAAGCCTGAAAGAAGGCTGAGGTGACAAAATCTCCACACTTGGAGTTGGGAAACGACAGCCGTCAGAAACTGACCAAAAGTTTATCCCCGCGTCGTAAATAGATAAGGGGACCCCCCAAGATCAGGGAAATCCTACAATCGAGGGTGAGAAACCCATCTTGGACTCCCTATCGGCCGAGGGAATAGCAACCCCCTCGGTCGAGCATGAAAGAAGGACCCCGAGCCTGAAAGAAGGACCCCCACTCCTCGCTCAAAGAAGTAAAGAGGAAGAAATAAAAGAGAGACAACCGAAGGACCGTGCACTCGCCGACCTCGAGCGATATCCCAATAAATAAAAGAGGGACAACCGAAGGACCGTGCACTCGCCGGCCTTGAGCGATATCCCCACAAATAAAAGAGGGGCAACCGAAGGACCGTGCACTCGCCGGCCTCGAGCAAAATCCCCACAAATAAGAAAGGGACAGCCGAAGGACCGTGCACGCGCCGGCCTCGAGCGAAATCCCCACAAATCAAGCCACATATTTGGCTAAGTACATATTAGGCAAATACTATGCATTATGGACGAAGCAAGACCATACATGCGGATCGGACGAGTGTCCAACGCCGTCTATCATCAGACGCACGCCCAGCGCCGTCTTCATCATTAGACGAGCGTCCCCAATGCCATCCTACTTCAGACCAGCATCAAAGCTAGGTCCTTCATATGACGAACGACTTCATCAACAACGCCGTCATCATCATCAGACGAGTGTCCAACGTCGTCCTTCGCCTTCACACCAGCCCTGCAACTTCAGACGAACGTCTAACGGCATCCTGCATCTTCAGACGAACGTCCAACGCCGTCCATTTTCAGACAAGCGTCCAACGTCGTCCAACGCCGTCCTTCAACTTCAGGTCGGCGTCAAAGCTTGATCCTTCATATGGCGAATGGCTTCCTCAACGTCGTTGTCATCAGGGGGCGAGCGTCCCCAACACAGTCCTGCATCTTCAGACGAGCATCCAACGCCGTCCTTCACCTTCAGACGAGCGCCCAGCGATGTCCCTCCTCTTCAGA